GCTGCGCAGCAAGTTGTTTAGCCTTCACACTTCCATTCGCTGCCGCAATAATTCCTTCGTAGTCCTGCTTATTCTGTTTAACCAAGCTAAATAAAATCACAACATGCTTACCTTGCCCTTCTATAAACCCTAACAAACACAAAAAAAAAAACGAAAAAAATACAGTGAAGTTGAAGAAAGTACTAACCTCAGACTTGTCCTTTGCGTCGTTGAGACTTTCACCGAACTCGTAGAGCTTGTCTATGTCGTCAGCAGCATCCGCCATTGAAGTAGAGAATAGGAGAAAGTGCACCGGTGAAAAGCTAGGGTTTAGGAAAAGTGAACGGAGGTTGAAGGAAGAAGAGAGGGAAGATTTTGGATAGTTATAACTATTACTTATATATTTTATTATTTTTAGGCAAAAGGGTCAAATATCTAAACTATTCGAAATATTCGAAAAGGTTTACATATATCTCTGTTTAAAGTTTGATTCATTCCTAAGCCGTTCAATTTTTGGTCTAAATATGCCTCTTATGGGCGTTAGTTGTCATGTTGAACATATCCAACTCATTTTTCATTTCTTTAAATGTCACATGGAATTATTATGTCATTTTGACTATATCACATAATATTTATATGAAAATGAAAAGTTTTTCAAATTCATAAACACCTAATCCGACTCATAAATCAACCTCCTTTTAAATAAATTTTTGGCGTTAATTGTTATATCTTTTTATATTTTTCTATTTTTTATTAATCAATTATTCATTTTCGGGATTTACCGCAATAATAAAAATTAAACAAAATTGTTAAAAATTAGTCGGATAGTGAATTTAAAAGGAACTGATTTATGGGTCGGATTAGGTGTTTATGAGTCCGAATATCTTTCCATTTTCATATAAATGTTATGTGGTAAGGTCAAAATGACATGACAATTTCATGTGGCATTTAAAGAAATGAAAAATTAGTTGGATATGTCCAACATGGCAACTAACGCCCATAAGGGCATAGTTGGATCAAAAGTTGGATGGCGAGGGCATCAGTGATCCAATCTTTAAACGGAGGGGCATATTTGATCATTTTTCCCTTATTTTAATGAATATAATATTTTGATAGATTCTCTATTTTTATCTATCTATTATAATTCGAATGGTAAATAGAATAATATTATAAAAATAGGTTAAAAGATGAAATATAATATTATATATTTATATAAAAGAGAACTTTAGGCTCGCCTACGTGGCGCCACCAGAAATCATTATTCACTTTTAAATTTATTCATTTTCAAAACTATCCTTCCATTTTTCATGAAAAGTTGTCATTTTATGAAAAGTTAATAACTTTTTTGAAAAGTCGTCACAATTATGAAGAGTTGTGATTTTTATGAAAAACTCATACTTCTATGAAAGGTTGTGACCTTTCTAAAGAGTTGTAACTTTTTCAAAAAGTTGTGACATTTCCGATAAGACACAATAAATATTTGTCCAAACTATCCTTTATTTTTTTACAATAAAGGAATTTCTTGCCACTATAATTTATAATGTTTTCCCCCACTATAGAATAGTCAAATTCAAATATATTAATTGAGTTTTTTTTATGAAGTTTGTTTCATTTTTGAAAGTTTTCATGTAGCTTAAACTTTATTATAAGTCATAGTGATTCATCTAACTATGATAATTTCTTTTTTGGAAAAATTACATAAATTAATATATTTTTAAATAATTACTGATTTTAACAATATTTTTTATTTATTACTATTTATAGCAATATTGTAATAATCTGTAATATGTTAAAATTGAATTACGTATTCAATATATTTGAAATATAATTGTTTTTGAAACATATTATGTTTGTTTGGTAAAAAATTGTCACATTGTATTATAAGTGTATTAAAATGTGTGATTAATGTATTATCCATCATTAAAATTTGTATTATATGTGAATAATAAATTATTTTTTTGTAATATGTATTAAACTTGTATTATAAATGAATTAAAAATGGTCAAGTGGAAAAAAAATGTTATTGCTATAAATGGTAAATATTTTTTTATTCAATAGTATATTTATATAAGTTTCCTTTTTTTTTATTATGATGACCTTTTTTTAACTTTGTTAAAATTTCAGCAAATCATTGAAATTCGATCTTCTCTTTTGCCCCTTTCTACATGCTTCTTCATATAAACAAAGAAAATTAATTTCAATTGGGATGCTACATTACTATTCTTGGACCTATTAGTACACAACTCATACATTGCTAAATTTTTTATGGTTGAATTCATTATATTTGGTTCTTTAGTAAACAAATCTTTTATTTCTATTGTAATTATTTGTATGTTTTTTTTTTCGAATTCAAATACATTAATTAAGCTTCTTATGAAGTGTATTTCATTTCTCAAAGTTTTCTTCATCCTCTTTCACGAAGTTTAATTTTTTACTTCAAATCATAGTGATGCATGTATCTGTTGCAACTTCTTTTTGCTATTTTGGTGAAAAAAATTTTAATTATGTTTAAAATTCAAGTGAGGAAGATTGAAAATTTATCTTCTCTTTTGTTGCTTTCTACGGGTTCTCTTTATATACTTTTTGAGAAAATCGCTTGTGGTTGTGCTATATTTGATAGAAGACAACAACAAATATTTGATAACTAATACGGAATCAATGATGAAGTTTTTTAAAAAGAACCCAAATATTTGATAACTAATACGGAATCAATGATGAATTTTTTTAAAAAGAATCAAAGTTGTTGCTCTCTTGCTTGCCACAGTTAGTATATTATATTGATTATTTTTTAAGGTACAAACATTTTGTATGTCATTGCACTATTTCTAGAATATTTGTATAGCCACATTTTTTATTGCAAGTTTATTAATTTTTCATATTTCTTCTTCTCTTCTTTTTGAGCATAATAAGATATTAAGTTTTGGTGAAAACTAACAAATGTCTAGAATAAATTATAACAAAAATATTTTTTTATCGGCAATAAATATGCACATTCACAAAGAGTGTTGTTGTACCGACATTAATTAATTGCCATTTAATTCAATGTTTCTTTAGACTTTAGGTACATTTATACACAGTATCAATAGCCTCTGAAAATACATATTTAACGATAATTAAGTTATTAATTATAATGAAAGATCATTTTTGATGTAGTGGTAACTCATTCTTTTGATAAAGTTTTTAAATTTTGATAATGAAGAAATAACTTTTTTTTTATTCTTTCAAATCAATTAAATTTGTGAATTGTAAACTTTGATACAACTCCAAAAGATTATATTATTGAAAAATATATCCGAAACATGCCTTTTTCTTCTTGATTGTTAGGAAAATAAGGTCTTTTTATTATTATTTTTAGATATTTGTGTGTTTAAGTACTCACAAAATTATGTTGTGAGATTTTAATATGTTATGCGTCAAAATTTTGATTTTTCTATATTCCTTGTGAACATTCAGATGTCATCTACTGCTTGACAATAATTGCATTAATTTTATGTAACTACATACTATAATCATAACAATAACTATGCTTAATCCAAATAAGTCGGGACCGGTGATATGAAATCGTAAAAATAGCAATGACTATTTTGAAACAATAACAAAAAACATGTATGATAATAACAATTTTAGCGTCGTTTTAAGCATATACTTGATATGACATACAATAGTAAAAAAGAGATTGATTGAGGTTCAAAAGAAAGGAGTCCAAGATCATCCATTGAATTAATTACTTATGATCTTGTATGGGCTTGATTTTCCACTTTACTTGAGAGTGTTGTTGTTCAATGGTTTTCGATCTCTTTTTCAACGTCTAATACTATTCTTTATAATTTCTTACAATTTAAAATTTTCCTTTACATCTTACAAACTATTTTCAGGGAGATTTTCTTAAACTTTTATCTCATACTTCACATCAATCTATGACTCATAAATTTGTATAACAAAAATAAATTTTAAAAAATTATAGCAGTTAAAGATTTCGGAGAAACTTTTTTCCTAAAGATAAAATGTTTTTGCCAATTATGTATTGAAAATACGAATATTAAATGATAATGTGTAAGCTTAATAAAGTAATTTAATCCCGTGTGAAGCACGAATAATTTACCTAGTTCAAATAATAATTTAACATAACAATGTAATCAAACTAAATCGGTTGCTATATAAATTAATTTTTTTGTTGTTATCTAATAATGAATTTAAACGATATACAATTAAAACAAACATTATATTTAAACTCAAAATACAATATGGTGAGTAATAGTTATCCAAACAAGGTAATAGTCTGAGTCGATTTTAATCGTTTATTGATTAAACTTAAATATATTTATCGATATGATTGTATCAAATGTGATTAGATTTTATTTTATTTGATAATTTGATTGTTAATTATATAAAAACCAAAATGGAGGAAGAGAAAAATAAATTAGTTAATAAATAGACATGTCTATGTTATAATGTACTTTTTTAAAAATTATGAACAGTATAATTTAAACAAATTATACATAAAACTCAAAAATTTTGATTCCATTTCTATCTTCACATCACCTTTAACCCTTTTTTGATAATTATATTATCATGTCCAGGTTGAATGCATCTCTAGTGTAGAACAATTAGCTCAAAAAATAAACAAATATATGTTAAAAATGAGACCAAAGTGATAAGATACACTATTCTCTTGCTAGTCTATATTGCTCGAACTTTTCAAAAATAATATCAGGTGTACGTCAAATGCTCCAAAAGGATCCAACAATTATGTAACAATATTTTTGAAAGACCCGAGCATTATGAAACAGTTTGCATGCACCACATTTCACAAGGTACGTACAACCTCCCGCTAATACAAGTACTGAATAGCTCAATCCACCACACAAGTATTGAATAACTAAATCCACCAAGGTTGGGGCACGTGAAAAGAAATCACCTAGTGTTTTTTCCGAAAAAATATACCAAAAGAAACTTCAAAGGCAACCTTTTTGCATCAGCATTAACAAGAAAAACCATTACACAAGAACACATCAACAACAATAACCAAAGAGTAATTGTCTGAAAGGGGATAAAATGCCCATTAAGAGGTCTGTAGTAAGTACAACTACAGGAGACAGACCAAAAAAAAACTACAAGTTTCTGTACAACTTCACATGACATAGATAAGGTCAACAGGTTGTTTTTTGGACATGTTGACAGTCAGTCATATCATGCCGAATATATATACAAAAATACAGTACATTTGTACAGTTTCAGTAACGTTTCCTACTCATCGGAGAATAAATATTTAGCAACAGATTCAGAATGTTTGCTCTTTAGTTCATTCAGGTGATCATATATCGCCTATTTTCAGGAATCCTTTGCTTCTGCGCACAAGGCTGTGGACTTGCAAATGGGACAATTGTTCTTCAGAATCAACCAATTTGTTACGCACTCTGCATGATATTCATGCCCACAATCAAGAGTTCCCACGTTCTCTTGGTCCTTGTAATCAGACTGAAACAAAGTATATAAACGGAGGCCATCAGAGATATTTACTTTTTGGTGGGGGAAAGGAACAACAAAAAGAATGCAACTTGGATGAATAGCGAAGCTTGTGAACTAACACCATATGATGACATAAACACGGTAAAAGTACGAAGTTCACCTTTGAAGAAATAGACATAGGCCAGAAATAGTAAATATATCCAACTTCTAAAGTATAGAAGCCTTGCAAAGATTTAGTAAGGCAATAAAAAGGGCAGCCGGGTGCACTAAGCTCTCTCTATGCATGGAATCCAGGGAAGGACAGGATCTCAATGGTCTATTATACGCAACCTTACCCTACATTTCTGAGAGGCTGTTCCCACGGTTCAAATGAGACCACATGGCAGTAACTTTACAAGGTACGTCAAGACTCCCTATTTTTAGGAAGGCAACGGCACATAAATACCAGTGGTGTTCTTAATGAACTTGAAAAACTAAGTTTAACTCAATAAGCTACGGGAATCATAAAAAGTTCCTGGAATAAAGTCACAAGTTGAGCAATTAATGACACCTCTGGAAAAATGTATTCAAATATTTCCCATGTCAACCTTAAGTCAGCATAGAGGTAAATACCTGGCAAATGACACAAAAATCAGTCTTGTGATCTAAACATGCAGCATTTTCCAAATTGCAAGGAATTTCCGTGGATGAAAATGATCTTGTTTTCAAATGGCCAACAATAACCTCCTCCGATAACCCAGTTTTTGCAGTGCCAATCTGCTCTCCCAATGCAAGAAGCTCCTGGAGTAGGAGATAAAAGAAGAAAAACAAAATTAGTTTCCAGAAGTTAACAACAATAAGTTGCTACATGAACATTAAAAAAGTAGTATTCCCTCCATTTCAATTTGTTTGTTTGTATTTTGACTTGGCAAGGAGTTTAAGAAAATAAAGAGAACTTTTGAATATTTGTTATCTTAAATTAAAAGATACATAGATATACCAAAATTTTCTTTAATCTTGCGGTCTTAATCATGCCATGTGGAAAGTTGAAATTAAGAGTTGCCAAACATGGTAAGGGGCATTCTTTTTTAAAGAGACTAAAAAGGAAAGTAAGACAAACAAATTGAAATGGAGGGAGTATATAACTTACGAAAAAAGGAAAATGGAGAAGTAGCATATACTCGTTAACCATCATGATAAATACAAACCGGTTAAAACTGAGGAACCTTCTATCTTCCTACCTCATAAGACATGTGATCTACGTCCATACGCATCTCCCTGTGCTGATCAACAGAATCACGCACTTCATGATAGCCAGGAATATCCAGCATTGCCACACCCTACATACAACCACCAAATAAGGATAAACCGTTATCTTGATTCCATAACTTTTACTGCATTAAATTAGACCATAAATGTGAAAAGAAGTTCTGGTAAACAGAAACATATTTACATCCTCCGGAAGAACTCTCATGTTAGGTAGGTTGTGAAGTCTAGTATTTGTTCCAAGCATGAATTCCCCTCGCTGAGGTCTGTACAATCTAAAGGCAGTCGGTGGGAATGGTCTAATATATCTAGACCCTGCCTCTACAAGGGCAAATGGATTGATAGTGCTGTCAAACGAGCTACTTGGTAGGTGTCTGTGTGAAGAAGCAGTCATCTGAGGAGGGAGAGTGATAAATTGGGGTCTCACTCCTTGAATATGTGGTGGTAGATGACGAAGGTTTGGGTGCCCTTGAGGAATGGATGGATATATAAAACTAGTCAAACCTCCATTTCCGTTTGTTACTTGATATCCTCGCACGCTGATATTTCCACCATCTTCACAGCCTTGAGTATCACCTAAAGTAATGGGAAAAAAGCAGAAGAGATATGCAATCAGTTCAGGAAGTTAATGTTGGAGATACAAAGACCTAGAGTTTCCCTTGAAGATTGAAGGAAGGGCTAAAAAACAATCCGAAAGACGTATAAAGTATAGGAGAGAGATATCATTTCTCAATGTAAACTTTTAAATCAATTAAATCAACTCTACAACAATCCCAAACTCATTGAATAGCTACACGAATCTTTTATAATCATTCCATGCTAAACAAAGTTAACTTTTAGCACGTAGAATAAATATGAGATGAGCTTCGGAAGAGAACGTGGGGATGGAGATGGAAAGAACAAGATTTGTTTCCCATGGATATATCCTTTTAACATATACGAATGCAGAAGGAAAGCTCAAATATGCACTTTTCAACTAGGTGAAACAGCAGTAGCACATATTAGAACAAAACTTAAAAGAACACCGACTTTGATGGACATTAAATGAAGAGACGAATAGGAAGTATTCTCTGTTTTTAGCTGAGCAACTTTTTGCTTTTTTTTTCTTTTTCCTTTTCTGGGAAAAAAGGACAAAAATAGGGAAAGACATTCATGATTGAAAAAGGAGAAGTGTAACATGCAAATTCCCCAGAAGTTGTATCAATTCAGGAGAGAGCTTGAGGGCGCGGGTGGGGTGTTCCTAGTCTTCTCCTTGTAAGAAAACAAGGTGTTTACTGTTTTAAAATTTAGGAACAATCTCTCCAAACTTAGATCCCGAATACTAACAGTTCACCCAGGCCTCTATAACTGAACTTGCACATCGATATCTCTCATTTTTGGATAAATTTGGGCTAGCTTCTAGAGGAGGAATGTTGACAATATCTTGTGATTGAAGATGCAAGGGAACTCTTCTATCCTATGAAACAAGTTTTCGGCAAATTAGGCAAATAAATAAAATAAAATGGATAGTCAAAAAGCAAGAATTTATCATTAAGGAAAGAAACAGAAACTCATCTCTGGATCCCTTAGAAACGAAGCGATAAAGGTTATAATAGATCCCTAGAAGTCAAATGAAAAATGAGTAGAGTGTACCAGGTAGATAAGGTAGACGAGCACTATGATTCCAGGCCCATGTTTCACTCTCCCTAGCACTGCTGTTGAACTGCAAGCCTGACCAAAAATTGCCAGGAAATTCACAGGCTTGGCCGACATAGTTCCCTTGAAGCTGATGATTGTTCATACCTCTCGGTGCTCCATCCTCGGTGAATGATAATGAGCCATTCCCTCTGTATTCAGGTGGTACAAAGGACGCAGCATTCATTGAGGCAAGAGGAAAGCTGGAGCCTACCAAAGCATGTTGATACTGAAAGTTCACAGGGATCCCTTCAGCATTCTTTCTCTTAAACGAGCCTCCAACACCATCTACATAAGGATTGTTCCTTCCATAATTGCCTTCATTAACTCCAAGGTTGCCTTGAGTGCTTGCAAATGGAAGCTGCTCATGTTGCCCGTGGTTTACTGGAATGGGGAAATCTCTAGGAGTGGATGGAGCAGCCATGTAATGGTTATAGTGATTTGACGATGAAGCAATGGCTGGGTCAAGATTGGTGGCAGGATGCTGATATTGAACCCCGTCATACTGCAACTTTCCATAAACTAATGCACCTTCTTGATGGTACTGTGGATGGTGCAAATAGAAATTACCAGCATTTCCAGGAGCTGGTAATATCGCATGGACATTAGGCTGCGGAAAGGTTGCTAAGCTCCTGTAGAAAGCATAAGGCTCCGGTTGAACATCTTGGCTTCTTTGTTCCGCTTCTGAATCAGTTATTTGATTACTATACGACATACTCCTTTGTGCAATGTTATCGAATTAAATTCAGTGGAGACTGCCTGCATGGAGAAGAATCAGGCGTCATTATACATATTACTTTCTCATAATTCTATTGGTAAGAGATTGCACAACTTGATTTCATAGAGGACACAATTTTGGATATTTATTAAAAAAATATCTATGCTCATCTCAATAAGCATAGTTCAATACAACCTAAAACCAATGTTGAGTTTTCGTACTCATGAACTTTGAGTCAAAAACCTGATCTTATCTCACAAACCATCACACCTATATATAGCAACCCTGGATGACTTGCTTCTTAACACAGAACAGTTTTGTTTGGTAAAGGCATACCAATCCATGCAGAAATAAATATAAGATTTAAATGAAACGAAGTAGGCGCATGGATAGATGGTAAGCTACTCTTACTCAAATGTACCTAAAAAAATACTAGTTCCAGGATCACTACTCATGAAGGGTATATTTTCATGATGCCAGACACAATTGTTTCAATCGTGACTGTAGGGGTAGGGCATGAATGATGGAGGTAAGTGGTGTACACCATGAACATTATAGTATAGGAACGTAAATATCTGAAGGCATGCAAAATGGAGTAGAGAGAAGCTTTGGTCGAGACGCGTTCTGGTTCATTAACAGAACCGAATCTATAATAATAGTAAAGCATTAGAGACCAACAACCAAGGGTGTGGCCTAGTGGTAAATGAAGTGGGTTGAGCACCCTGAGGACTCGTGTTCGAATCCCAACAAAGAAAAAACACTAGGTGATTTCTTCTCATTTCTTCTAGCCTTCGTAGACAGAGTTATCTGGTACCTATTATTGTGGGAGGAAACTGTATACACCAAGGCTAGGACAGATAGGAAGAAATTACCTAATGTTTTTGTCTCAACTGCAATTTGAACCTAGGACAGATGGAAAGAAATTACCTAATGTTTTTGTCTCAACTGCAATTTGAACCCAAAACTTCATGGTTCTCAACTACTTCATTGACCACTATGCCACACCCTTGGGTGCATTAAACAAGCCAGAGTTATTTATATCAGGAAAAGTTGTTTGGCTTCAATATAATGAAGTCTTGGGCAATTCTCAATCATAATCACTCTTTTATATTCACTGACTCGATGACCCATTTGAAGCATGCAGTCAAAGGATATCATCAGTTACTCCCATCTACCAAAATGGGAGAAGAGAGAAGCTAGAGTTTGGTCGAGACGCGTTGAGGTTCATTAACAGTATCGAATCTATAATAATAGTAAAGCATTAGAAACCAACAACTAAGGGTGTGGCCTAGTGGTAAATGAAGTGGATTGAGCACCCTGAGGACTCGTGTTCGAATCCCAACAGAGAAAAAACACTAGGTGGTTTCTTCTCATTTCTTCTAGCCTTCATAGATAGAGTTATCTGGTACCTATTGTTGTGGGAGGAAACTCTATACACCAAGGCTAGGACAGATGGGAAGAAATTACCTAATGTTTTTGTCTCAACTACAATTTGAACTCAAACCTCATTATTCTCTACCGCTTCATTGACCACTATGCCACACCCTTGGGTGCATTAAACAAGCCAGAGTTATTTGTATCAAGAAAAGTTGTTTGGCTTCAATATAATGAAGACCTGGGTGATTCTCAATCACAATCACCCTTTTATATTCACTAACTCGATAACCCATTTGAAGCATGCAGTCAAAGGATATCATCAGTTACTCCTATCTACCAAAATAGAAGTAGAGAGAAGCTAGAGTTTGGTCGAGACGCGTTGTGGTTCATTAACAGTATCGAATCTATAATAATAGTAAAGCATTAGAAACCAACAACCAAGGGTGTGGCCTAGTGGTAAATGAAGTGGATTGAGCACCGTGAGGACTTGTGTTCGAATCCCAACAAAGAAAAAACACTAGGAGGTTTCTTCTCATTTCTTCTAGCCTTCGTAGACACAGTAATCTGGTACATATTGTTGTGGGAGGAAACTCTATACACCAAGGCTAGGACAAATGGGAAGAAATTACCTAATGTTTGTCTCAACTGCGATTTGAACCCAAAACCTCATGGTTCTCAACCACTTCATTAACCACTAGACCAACCCTTGGGTGCATTAAACAAGCCAAAGTTATTTGTATCAGGAAAAGTTGTTTGGCTTCAATATAATGAAGTCCTGGATGATTCTCAATCACAATCACTCTTTTATATTCACTGACTCGATGACCCATTTGAAGCATGCAGTCAAAGGATATCATCCGTTACTCCTATCTACCAAAATAGGAGTAAAGAGAAGCTAGAGTTTGGTCGAGACGCGTTGTGGTTCATTAACAAAATCGAATCTATAATAATAGTAAAGCATTAGAAACCAACAACCAAGGGTGTGGCCTAGTGATAAATGAAGTGGGTTGAGCACCCTGAGGACTCATGTTCGAATCCCAATAGAGAAAAAACACTAGGTGGTTTCTTCTCATTTCTTCTAGCCTTCGTAGACAGAGTTATCTGGTACCTATTGTTGTGGGAGGAAACTCTATACACCAAGGCTAGGACAGATGGGAAGAAATTACCTAATGTTTTTGTCTCAACTGCGAATTGAACCCAAAACCTCATAGTTCTCAACCACATCATTGACCACTAGACCATACCCTTGGGTGCATTAAACAAGCCAGAGTTATTTGTATCAGGAAAAGTTGTTTGGCTTCAATATAATGAAGTCTTGGGCGATTCTCAATCACAATCACTCTATTATATTCACTGACTCGATGACCCATTTGAAGCATGCAGTCATAGGATATCATCTGTTACTCCTATCTACCAAAATAGGAGTAAGATAATAATAGCAATTGAAGATTCTACATTTATAAATAGCATCTTACATATTTGGAATAGTGAAATTCAATCACAATTATGAAGATTGAGTCTCCTCAACAATCAAATTTGGTCTAGGTTCAGTTGATTGAAAGTATTACATAATCAATGAATATAAATGCTCATTTAGAAACTAAATCACCTTTACATACAAACATACATCCAACAGAAACTTAATGCATCAAATTTGCAATAAATTGTCAGTGTAGATAATAGCAATTACTACTTTTTTTATAAAGCATTGACTATGGAAAGAATTACCAAAATGAAAAGAGTGACTACCCATTATGTATGATATATTTCAGATATGGTCTCTCCTCGAAACATGTGTTGATCTGTTTATCTAAAAATAAAGGACAGAAATGACTGCATCCAGACCTTTTTATTCTTTTTACTTTCTTTGATAAATTGGAAACTACATAAAACCAATCATCAAACGTTTAACAGGAATGAGAAGTCACATTTCTATGCACGGTGGAGCAGAAACTAAAAACATCCCGATAGACTCTTTATCTTGCAATTTTATAACAACAAGAACAGTACAAATTAAACTATTTAAGTTAATAAAATGAAGAGAAAAGCAGTCAAGCAAACGAAACTTTCAATTTTTTGTTCAAAATCCAGAGAGTTCTGAAGCTATAAATCCCAATTTGAAGATATGATAAAAACTATGACATTGATACAAGAATCGACAACAGTTAGAGAAACTAAAATTGATACATCAATACATCTAGGTTCAATGGAAAAGGTAGTATAGCAGGGGATGTGCGGTAGGTCAACATCACGTGTTTGAAGCCTTCTTGTTGCACTGAGTCCATATTTAAGCAGATAAGGGTAAAGGGTCAGAAGTAACCTCCAAGTTCCAATCAGAAACAACGGATTTCTTAATTATCAAAAAAATGACACTCTCAATCCGTTATGAAATAGGCCATCAGTCATATTGGTGTACAGTTCAACAGGAAACACCTTCAACCATATAGCATCAAATGCTTTATGCCTTCATCATATACAATTGGACCTCTGAACCTAACAGTACAAGTAACTCAAGGAACTCTTTTTTTTTTTGATAAATGTGGTGGCAGGGTAAGCTTTGCGCACATCGAAAAAATCTACTAGATACATGTCACCCTCCCACTAGCAACATGTACCAGCGACCAGATAACTCTATCCACCAAAGCAGGGATAGAACAAATGCGAAGAAATCACCTAGTGTTTTTTTGTCTCTGTGGGGATTTAAAATTGATAACTCATGCTTCTCAACCACGTCATTGACCACCAGGCCACACATTTAGGTCCCAAGGTGTGTAAATAATCAAGACAGCAAATTTACCAAACCAAACCTTGCTTCACAAATTCCAAAATAACTCTATCCACAAACCATACAAACGCTTTAAGCAATAAATTCTTAACCTTTCTTAAAAGTGACAGCACAGATACATAAATTATGAGAAATTCTTTTTACCATGTTCAAAAAAGTTTCTGCCTTTGTGGATAATTGTTTCTTAAGTCACTCCATTTTAACTTTTTTTATCCCTGCTGAACCCACAAAAATTAACCAGATTATACACACACACCTATCAGCATTATTCAATCGAAGTAACATGCAAGTGACAAACAAAAACATGTCATTAATCCATGTTGCTCGGACTCTTCAAAAACGCCACGAGGTCCTTGTCAAATCCTCCAAAAAGTAGTGCATTTTTAAAAAATCCGACACACGGGTGTGGCTGCATGTTTGAAGAGTCCAAGCAACAATATCCATTAATTAAAAATAAAAGGAAACATATAGCCAAATCAAAACCACACATTTTGAGTATCCTTTGTTTCCTTTACAGAGTGTTGGCTCTAACCATAAATATTTACTGTAATTAATCTCTGCATATGTATAAAAAGAACAAGTCTTAAAAGGTCAAAATGGAAACCCCCAAATTTGACTTAGCTACAAAAATCACAATCAATCCAAAATCCAAGCAAACCCCACAACAATTTCTCCAACTGGAACCCAAATGCATGCAATTTTTTTTACAGTGATATCAACAATACATAAAAAAAGAGTCTAACAAGGTCAAAATAGAAAACCCCAAATTTGATTTAGCTCTAAAAATCACAATTAAAACATAATCCAAGCAAACCCCACATAAATTTCTTCATCTGTAAGCTTAAAACATGCAATTTTTTGCCAAAAAACACATAAAAATTGTAACTTTTTCACTGAAATGCTTCATCCTTTGAGAAAAAAAACAAAATAGAAAAAGGGGCTAACCAGAGTGAAGATTGATAATGCGATGAAGAGGGATTTTTCTGCAAATTGAAGAGAGTAAAGTAAGAAAAAATAAAAGTAGATAAAAGGAGCGGAGATTTCAACGGAGTTTCACCAATGGTGTTTCTTGAAATGCCCTCTTGTGTGATGAGAAAAAAACTTGCTATTAATATTTGCTCTTAACCCAAAAAAAAAAAAATTAATAAAAAAAACTTATTCAAGAATAAATTCTTGAATTTAAATAATTACATTAATATAAGTAAAAAAACAATTATTATTCCATTAATAGAAGTGATGGATATAAATTTAGTTATTGGAAGTGTAGCAACCCCAATAAGATAAAGGTTACACTTTTGATATTGGTGTGATCAAAATTATATTATCAATTTTTAATTTATCGATTAATCAAATATTAGATTAAACGAGCTATTTAGATTGGTTTGATTATTTTTTTATGTGAAAAAAGAAAAGAGATAGTTGCGTGTTTGATTCGTCTTCATCTAGGTGGAAATTATTTTTTAATATTAATTTTAACTTGACAAGTTGATTTTGTGAAGTTTAGTAATTAGTACATTTTTTGTGTTAATAAAAATTAAATTATAGTATTCGATTTTCATTCGTTGGCTAAAAAAATATTTGAAATTTTGAAGGTACGAATTGTCTATATTTTTACTTTAACAAAAACGTTTTTTTATTTATTTTAAGATTTTTTTTTTACATTAAGCTGATAAGTAAACTTTGTTAATATCGATACAAAAAATTCAAATTTTCATTTATCTTTAGCTAGAGTGAATAATATGAATGGCTTTTTTATATATATATAAATAAGAGGAAATAAATTTTATTGTTATGATAAACATATGCTCCAAAAGGCATCCCAAGCCTCTGTGTTCAAAATTTCGAAGTTTTTTAGAACAAAATTCACTATAATATTAAAATGAAAAAATTCTTAAAAGTACAATTATTTAATTTATATTGCAAATTTATATTTATGTTATAAATTAAAAACATTGAATTACGTTGAATTTGTAACAATAATACTATATTCGTTATTTTTATATGATATTTGAGTTAATTTATTTTATGAATCTATCATCTTTTCTTTAGTCAATGGCAATTTTTAATTCCTATATTGTTAGGAAGATTTTAATTTGTGATATTTGACTAAGTTTATTTATTTTTTGATAAATTAATTACTTAAATTTAATCTTTTTGCTTATAATGTTCGCACATTTTCAAAATTGCTAAGTGTTTCATCATTTAGTATATCTTACTTATTAATTACTCCATATTTAAAGATAATATATTTATAAAAATAGTCCAAATATAACATATTAAGAAATTCAAAACATATTTTCAATTAACTAAAATTTGAATATGTTTGATTCATGTATCACAATGACTAAAATCAAACTTTATTAGTAACTGAATAATAATGGTCGATATTTTTCAAGGTCACACCTGATCTAGAATTAAAAAAAGGTACATAAAGCTTTTTCGCTTTTAATTAAAATACAACCTTTTTAAATTAATATACATTGGACAATATAAATTTATTATTTTTATAGAGATATTATTTAATAGATAAATTAATATTTATTAATTAAAAAAATGATTTGAAATTTAACGAAGGTTAATTTTGATTATATCAAAATCATTGTATCTTATTAATTTATGTATCATAGAACTCTTCACAATTTTATGGTGCATTTCGAAATAAAAAACATAACTCTTGGATGCATTTAGAAAAGTTAGAGATGAAATTCAACTAGATTTATGTTTTAAGAAAATAACAAAACACAAGAGAATCATATTTTACTAAATTATTCTAGATATATTTATATTTTTAAAGAATTATTAATTTATGAAATTAATGGAACCATATATTTATACAGGGGCCTTCTGTAAATATATTATCTTATCGAAATTAATGATTTTTCCATTAGTCCAAATTGGGACAAGCGAATTGGGACAAGCGAAAAATATTACTTTAAAGAGATAATTAATTTACCTAAAATTAATTTATAGAGATTTTAATATATAAAGCATTACAATCTAAAATTAACAAAATAAAATTAAACCTTTTTTTTTTTTTTATATTTCTCTATTTGCAATAAATAAATTAAAGTTTAAACTCGTGATTTGACAATAAACCTATAGCCACAATTACAATTATGCCTTCTTTATTTTCTAAAATTAAGTGCACAAATTGAAAGCAAAACGTCAACAATAAAACGATAAACAATCTCAATTAAATATATAAAGGTATCTTAAAGCAATGTTTTTGCTTAATTTTTTTAAATATTCCCATGCAATTGAAGGTGCAATGAGAACTAAAATAATAAAAACTCATCAATTTTAGATAAACAATTCATTACTTATTATTTTTAATTTTATCAATCAATTATTGCATGTGAATGATTTGTTCAATCTTGACACAGTATATAAAAAAATAATTGTTTGATTAAGTAATAATTTGTATTTCAAAACATTGTTTAAGGATTTGTGATGAATCAATATGATTTTTTTCACTTTTAATCATAAATTTGATTATGTGATAAGTATATACCATTTGTTCTATCTTTCATATACTTTTAAGTTTATTTTAGAAAAAAAAAGTTAGCTTTCTATGCTATAATTTCAATTTCATATTTTTAATTCGTAATGAGGCTATTATAGAGAAATGATATAGGATTTAGGTGTAAGCATTTAAGACTAAGAATTTGTTTGAATTGATTTTTGATTTTTAACCTATAAATAACAACTAACAAGTTATTATAATTTAGAAATTTCAATGCATGAATATTTTAGGGTAAATTGTATATAATGACAAAATAATAAATTAAATCAAATGTTATAACTACACTTTAATTTAATTTTACCTTGTAGCAAATTGTTTGTTAGTCACATCTCTCCCTCAAACTATCACTCGCCAAGCTCCAACTCTCGCTCGCTCCCTCTCACTTTTATACAAACACAAGTGTATAAAATTTGTTTCTGGTTGTATAAAGGGAGAAAAAAATTGTAAATATACATATATTTTCGCTCCCCTCTCCCAGATCTCGCTCGCCACTCTCGCCTCTATCGCCTATACAAATAGAAACGAAATGTATAAATTGTGTTTCTGTTTTTTTATAAAGTGAGAGAAAATTGAATATACACTTGCAAATACATATATCTTCATCATATCCACTTATAATTATACCATACGAGTATTTTATTTTGTCTTTATCTCTTTCTCGTTTTACACATACACAAATTGTACAATTGATTTGTATATAACTTATTTCTTTTGTATATGTATAGCAAATTATACAATTAGTTTCTTTGTATATGTATAGCGAATTATATTTGCTATGGAACACAATCATGCAAATTTTGCAACATACAAATATGAAGTTTCCGTTTGCTATATGTGAAAGTTGCTAATTTTTTAAAACTTATTTTATCATTTCAGCTTAAAACCAAATAAATATAAACATTTCTTTAAATTTACTCAAACGCTCAAAAAATTATTTTAACTTAATAACACTCAAAATAAGCCAATCCAAACATGATGTAAAAAATTTAACTTTTTTTTTACATATAGTATATAATTTTTTTTATATATATAAAGGGTAATTTATAGTAATAGTTTTAATATAGGTAATATATAGTAATAATATAAATATAAACATATAATGATAAAATAATTTAAAAAAGATTTGACCATAATATTATTATAGCCTTATAGGAATGATTTTCATAGAGAGTAATTACAATATGTTTAATTTTTAAAAAGGGAAAATAAAATAAAAGGAAAAAAAAGATAAAAAATAAAAGATAGAAAATATAATTAATAGAGTTTAATCCAGATTTTATGCTCTCTCTTTTTCCCTCTTCTCAAATTCTACCGGCCGCTGTCTCCGTCGTCCTCCGCCTGCCGGCGGTAAGTTCAGTTGCTACCTGAATTTTGTATTGCTGAGTATTACATCAACGCTGTCAACAGATGGGAAGGCCGCCGAGTAATGGAGGTCCTTCTTTCCGTTTCAACCCTGCAGAGGTTAATACAACTTTTTTCTCTCTCTCTCTGTACATGTTTCGTGGTTTTCAATTGGATAATTATTACTGATTTTATGATTTGTGTTCAGTTTATTTCGTATCGTGATTGTATTTACCCTTACTTTCGTTATGCATTTTGAGCTAGAATTTTCAGTAAGGAGTTCACAAATGTGAAGAAATAGACACAGAAATAAATTGAAGGAGGTTGAAGAATAGTAATTTTAAACATGTATAAACAATATAATTCTTTGCCGAAGGGATTGGGATGAAGTATGAACCCCTGGTCCATACCTGGCTCCGCCCCTGGTTGAGATTTGGGGATTCTCACATTTATTGTTTGACTCACTAGTGGCGGAGTCTGGAATTTCATTAAGGGGTTCAAAATTTGAAGAAGTGGACATACGAACTAGCTGAAGGAGGTTCGACATCTAGTAATCTATACATAAAAGATAACGTTAACTATATATAATTAGTATTATTTTTCAGTGGAGTCCTGACACAAGCTGAATCTGCCCGTGATTGTTCTGCTTTTGTATTTTATATGCAGTTTAATTATATAGTCTTGCTAGTGATTGCTCTTTTGCTTGTTCAGTATTTACCTTTTACTGTCTTTCATTATGCATTTTGTAGTTGCTGGAGACTTGAGATTCTCGCACTAATTATCATTGATGTTGTATTTTATATGCATTTCTTTTATATATTCTTGCTCGTGATTGTTCTTTTGCCCGATTGGTGTTTACTTTTATTGTCTTCATCATGCATTTTGTAGTTGCTGAGACTTGGGATTCCCACATTAATTGTACTGCTTTTGTGTTCTATATGCAATTCAGTTATATATTCTTGCTCGTGATTGTTCTTTCTGACCGTTTGGTGTTTACCTTTACTGTCTTTCATTATGCAATTTGTGCTTGCAGAGAGTTGGGATTCTGACATTAAGATTTTTCTTATCCCTTGTGCAGTACAATTAGAAAATACATTTTTTAAACTAGTAACATGCAGTACAGTTAAGAAAATACATGCTTTTGTTGGAGTTATTTTTCATTTTCTTTTCCCTAAAGTAGTCGTTTTAAATGAAATATTAGTCCTTGGGGGGGGGGGGGGGTTAAAAAGTCTTCCAACTAGAGGTAGTT